CTCGGAGAAATTCTTCAGCTTCGTTTTTCTTGGCCTTTATAATTAATAAGATTAGAATCATAATTGTTATTTAATATGAATACAAACGCGATTGATTAATATGTTACCTCTAAACTTTGTTTATCCATTTCAACTATATTAACGCGATTTAATTTACATAAACGTTCTTCATCCAATAATTCAAGCTTTTCATTTGCTTCTTCAAGTGGGATTTTATATTTAGAAGTTTCGATAATGTCATCAAGAAATTCTAAGAGTCCATCTTCATGCTTATTTGGTGCTTTGGGTTTCATCTGAGATATTGATTCAATTTCCCTAACCATTGATTTAAGCACAAAATTTTGATGATGTCAATACATTAATAATTACTCTTGACGAATTTTTTTTTTTTAAAAAAAATAAATAAAAAAAGCACCTGCAAAATTAGAAACCGTTTATGATCCAAATCGATCTCCTTTTCTTTCAAAAGACTTGTAACTTCAGTGTAATTGCTTTGTCGTCCATTAATGAAATACTTGCTAGCATTATTGCGAAAAGCTTGACGCGAGATAACCAACTGAGATTGAGGTACAACCTCATAATCATCTGGATCATGCTATAATATTATTGAACATTATGTGATTAATTTTTTGTATTTTAGGGAAATTAAAACTTTAATCATTTACCGTATCAAGGATTTCTTCAAAATGCACATCCACATTACAAGCATCCAGGTTCTCACATCCTTGTGATGAATGAATAAGTCCTGATAATTTTCCTTGCCTCATTATACTTGCACGATATCCAAATACAAAGAAAAACGCGTCTATGAAATTAGATTTTCCAGAGCCATTTGGTCCGACTGTCGCAGAAAATGACTTGAAATTAAAAATTTTAAGATTAGAAAGAATCTCGTGCCGCAACAAATCTCCAACAAGTCAAAATATATATTATACCTTGTGAAATGGGCCAATCTCAACTTGACCAATATACGATTTAAAATTGTTTAATACAATTTTTTTTTTGATCATAAACCGACGTTTATGTTCAACAGGAACATGACACATATTTGTACCCAAGGAACTTGAAGTCTTTGAAACTTTAGTGTGTGATGGTAAGCTAATATTATTATTATTGGCAATTTGGCGAGATATTATGGAATTATAAAAGAAGATTGTTATTATAGAAAAGTCGGTTCTTCAAAAACTTTATATTCGAAAAATTACAAGTAGTAGTTTTTCAAAGATGTTTTGACGCGTAATTTTAACCAATATTTCTATTTAAGTAGTTTTTTCAAAGACGTTTTGACGCGTAATTTTAACGAGCAATATTTCTATAAAAGTGTAGAAACGCGTAACAAATTATAGACAGGATCTTCATATACACTTATACAAGGTAGATATCATAGGAGGACTTTCATATGATTGGCTGATTATGTTACACGAATTTTGCAATTAGTATTGTAAATATTTTATGCATATCACGTGACTTTAATATAATAAACTATTACATTTAGACTAATTAGCATTCATATGTATATTAACTAAAAATCTTAAAAATCAAACAAATTAGTTTAATTTATTAATTTTATATAATATTTAAAATATTTAAAAAAAATAATAATAATAATTTTATTGCTGTTGAAATTTTCGTAATGCCTCTTCTAACACAGATGCTACATAGTTTACCGGTTCGCTTACACCATCATCATTATCATCAAGAATATTATCTTCTGGTTCTACAACCCGTTTTCATTTTTTATCTAAACTTTTCAAAGATTCTAATAAGGATTGAACATGTTCATCAACACCGTTATGAAATTCAAGTCCTTCCTTCTTCTAAAGAATCTTTTAGACTTTCTGACGATATACGGTATTTGTCGTATGTTGTTCTTTGTAATCCTATTTATAAAAAAATAAATTAATAGAATATTAAAAAATTCTAAGGCAGAATAAATACATAAAAATTTACGTACGAGGATCCATGGCATTTTATCAAGTTGCTCTTTATAGTTTTGCGTCCATACACGAATTGGTAATTCGGTTATTCAGATTAAGTCATCATTAACGCCTATTTTTCCATAGTTCTGGTATTTGCCATTGCTAATTTCCTCAATATCTCCCTATAAATTATGAGAAAATAATTTAATATAAAGAGAATTCAATGTCTGTTAAAGGATTCTTTTAAAGGATTATATTCAAAATGTTACCAGGAACCCACGGTACCCTGTACAGTTTCTTCATTATTGATTAGTCGTTTTAAATTGTCAACGATTTCTTGAGGATTATAATTTGTGATATATGAACGCAAACCTTATAATTATAAGATGAATCAATATATTATGCGATATGCGAGATATAATAAAAATGCCGGGGGAGGGGGAGGGTTAATTAACTCACCGGTTCCGATTCCCTCGGATCCATTAACAAGGACCATTGGCAGAATTGGCAAATACCATTCTGGTTCAACCAACTGACCATCATCATTACGATATGAAGTAATGAGTCATCTTGTGGGTTGAAGATCTTTCGTGTTATGTCGGGGATAGTGACGCTGATATAACGAGCGCTAGCTGCATCCTTGCCCCCCTGAGCCCTTGTGCCGAATTGGCCCTCGCCATTAAGGATATTGACGTTGTTTGAACCGACAAAATTATGAGCTATTCCGATAATAGTACCTTGAAGACTTGCATCACCATGATGATATGCCGCTTGTTCTAAAACGGCCCCGGATAGCGAAGAAACTTTAATTTCTTTCTTATAGTTCTTAAAGCAAGTGTACAAAACTTTTCCTTGCCCCGGCTTTAAACCGTCGAGAACACTTGGAATCGAACGTTCATTGTCGGCTCGACTGAAAAAGATCAACTCTCTATTTATAAAATCCGTTATCATGATTTCTTCTTGTTCATCATGATTTATGTAGATACCGGGCTAGAAGAATATAAAAATTTAGAATGCGAATTATCGTTAAAAGGTTTACATTCTGGAATCAGGTAACAGAAAAAAAATTCTATACATACTTCAAAATTACTTAACCATGTCTTGCGATCATCAGCTTTCTTTTTTATTAAAGGCCATATCGATCAACTCTAGTTCACCTTCTTTCATAGGTGCAAAAGGTTTTTTATGGCGCTTTAAATTCTTAAAATATTGTTTAGCTTCTTTGGTATTGAAGTGCCAAGACCCTATGAACAGGAGTACTTATCATATTAGTTACATCCCTTTTTGTAAAAAAAAATATCTATAAAAGAAAATTACCTTGTAATATTTGACCTTCCAATTTTTAGCATCAGAGGTCTTCGCCTTACAATTTTCATACTCGGGCATAGTGAAGAATGATACTTCTTTATTACCCTTCGTACACTAATAAAAAAAATTGTTTAATGATTATTGGATCTCAAAGATTCTTGCATTAGCGTGATTGAATGGTTTCATACCTTTACAATTGGTGTGATAATTCCCATAAAAAAACCCGAAATTTTTAGCAAGGAGGGAAAGAAATGATCTGACTTCCATCGTGATCTTGATCCGTCATGATCATCAGATGCCCATATCGTAATTCACTTGTTGATGTATATTCTTTTCCTTGCTTCAGTCCAAGGATTTGCTTTATTTGTTGAA